TCACAGTTTCAGCTTGCATATACAATGAGGGGGGCCTTGCTTTGGGGGCTTGGAGGTGGTCCAGAAATCCACCGCTACCAGTAGTTTGGAAGTCCTCCTGAGAAAACAGGCCCTGCCTTCTCCAGCTTGCTGCTCTCCTGGCTTCTGTGGAGGTTCTTAGAGTCTGCCCATTGATGCTCACATGGCTCCTTTTCGCCTTCTGCTTTGATCTTGGCACCTGGCTTCTCCTTTTCCCTACTGGAGACATTCTCAGCAATCACTGTCAGGATTCCAGCAGTTACCCCAATTAAATCATGAGTCTTGAGCCAAGCTCCCAGAACTTCAAAGGATTTATTGGAAGTCAACATGACGGCATGTCCTGAGCATAGCCAACTCTGAGACACGTAATTCACTGTCACCTTTGACCCTGTTTTTCCCCCCACCCCTCTGGGTGTATCATAATTCATATTCTCCAATGAAACACGTCCATAGCCATCAATCATGTTCTCCAATTAGATTTTTGTACAGCAGAAGCTTCAGTCATCTAATCAGTCTCTGAAGAAAATATGAATAGGATGTACTTTCGATTCCACACTGCTGCCTGCTCTTTGAAACCCCCACTTCTTTCTGTTGGCAACTATAAAACGTGTATAGAAAATGTTTTATGAGTTGACAATCACATCTTTTCCTCTTCCTTCCTTTTTTCTTCTCTTGCTTCCTCATCCCCATTTTGCCAATTGCACAAATAGTCCTTGTTTCTGAGTTTCCTTTTTTCTTAAAAATAGGCTGTGTTTCTCCTTCCATCTAATTCAACCAGTGCTTTCTCTGGTCTTTTATTTGAGTCAGAGTTTGGGGCATGTCTGGAATTATGTTTTTTTCTTGCTCATGTCTTGTTCTCAAGCAAAACTTCCCCTTCCTGGGCTTACTTTTATGATAGCCAGGATCATCAGTTCATCTCTATGATTCAATTCCCTGGGGACATCTGGAACCTCCTGATGATCTTTGGCTACCCTCCTATTATTATAGGAGGATCAGTAGCAGCATTCTAAATTAGCAAGTCTCATAGAGGCTTAAAGTATAAAATTATAATAACATATATATGCACTTAGAACATTAACATAAAGACAATAACACATAGTAAGAAATCGAAATCCCAACATCATAATACAAAGCAATCCTACCAAACCAGAAAGGAATGTAACAGTTCACACCATAAGGTAACAGTGGCAAACAGTGATATTTCAATGGTCTTCTAGAGAACTTTAAACTTACTAACTGCCCCAGCAAGCATCTTTCAAGGTGGGTGTCTCTCAGGCAGATAACAATTACACACAAAAAGGCTGATCAGGAAGAGATTTGGACCACCAATCCTGTTTAATTTTTTCTAAACATTCACAATTATATTTACAACCCAATGAGAGGTGTTATGAAAAGAAAAAGATGTTGCATATCTACTGAGTTTAGGATATTTTGTATAATTGTCTTGAAGTTGATTAAAAAAAACCCTCTAAGGCAACATTTGTTTGCATTTAGTAAATCCAGGCTGTAGTGATTAACAGCAGATTCAATAGATAACAAATCCAACAACAAATATGAACGAACTAAATAAATACATTGAAAACAAAATGTTTAAAGTTACAAAAGTTACAAAAGCTAGTGAATCTGAATCTCAGTAATATTTGGGAAATAATTCTAGGATATAGAGAATTAAGTTTTCTATGGGTGCAGGTGCCCCAATTCCTCACACCAGACCCAGTGTGGCTTCATTTGGGCTTTTTTAGCACTGAAAGAGGAGGGGCAAAGCTCTCCTGAATAAGCCAGCATGGCTGATTCCACAGGAGGACTATCATATCTTGAATGCAGAACTCTGGACAATAGCAAAATGATAGCCAGGTAATATGAAAATTCTCTAATGCTTCACTCAATGGACTGAGATGAGCAACAAGCCATTGGTCAATGTTTGGAAAAGCTTTTTCAAACATTGTATGATACCTAATTTTTCTCATGATTAGTTTGGAAATGACTTTTCTTTGTCAGCCATTGCTCTACTTTCTTCATTGCCAGGGTGGGTTCTGCATAAGTGAGGAAAGGACTATTTTAAGGCCTTTTACAACTGTGTCCTGGCACTCTCAAATTAGACTTCCTTTTTGTGCCGTCTGCTGGCTGTAACAGAGGATGCGACTCATGTGTTAGATGCTTTTCCACCCCAGCAGCAAATCTGTCTTTATCCCAAAATAAAAACTTTTGCTTGTCCCAAAAGTGTTTTCAAAAGGCAACTGGACATTCTTGGACTTTACTAGTTGCCTTTTTAAAAGCATCTTTGAGACCTGGTTGATTGAGACTCTCCATAGACAGATGCTAGTATGTTCACACTCGAGCTATTGTAATATGGCCAATCCTTATAGAGGGTCCAGCAACTGCCCCTGGCCAGGAATGCAGAAGGGCAGGTGGGAAGGCCCAGGACCAAAGCAGCAGGGTGAGGCCAGCTCCACTGTGGTTGGTTGGCCAGCCGAGCTGCCGTTGAAAAGACTCCCCTTTGAATCCTGCACAGGGGCATTTCCCCCTTATTACACTTTGGAGCAGCTAGAATCTTATGCACCAGGCCTTTTTTGTGTTTAAATGCTTATGGTTGGAATGCTTCAATATTTAATATTTCTTATTTTAAAGCATATTTCGATGATCATTTTTATGTAGGTTTGCAAGCTTCCCGGAAGTAATCTAAGCAACCCTCTCCCTCCTCCACCCCCATGGCTGCTTCCAATGTTCCAGCCTCAGATTCTCCAGGTGAAGAGTTCAACTGCCAGGAGCAGGAAAAAGCTTTTCAGGCAAGGCAGGTGCTCAGCTGAGCTCTGCGGGCTCCTCCACCCCCCACCCCCCCAGCAGGAGAGAAGGGCAAGACTCAGGACAGCAAGTGCTGGATGTGAAATTATGGGGGCTGAGAGTAAAGAGGTGTCTTTAAAAATGGACTTTTGGTTCAAATGGAAATGCTTCAACATGTGCAGATACAAAACAGAACAATTTAAGCTCAGACCACTGTGACAATAAAGGGAAATGAAGAATTACATACGTTCAAAACTTAAACATCAAGCCCCAAGCCTTCTCCAGAAAATTGTTCCATGAGAAAGAGAGAAAGGCTGCCAGATGCCAAAGAACAGGAGACAAGTAGAGGGCTCTCCAGCCATCAAATAGAGGAGTTCCTCTTCTGCCTAAAAGACTGGGAAAGCCATTTGGCTGTTCTTTATATTTTCGTCCTTCTATTTTGTATTTAGTCTCCTTTTTACTTGTTCAGTGGTAATGATTACTTTTAAGCATATCAGAAACCCCACCATTTTCTTACCATATCTTTCTTGGTTATTCTTTGCAATTTGGTTTTGTACTGTGTTCTGCCCAATCTTTGCCAATTTCACATTTTTAAATTTGCAACTACTGTTAAGTGTAGCTCATTTCTATTTGTCTACTTTCTGTCTTCACAAGTAGCCTAGAATGAGGAGGCTGCTGAAACCTCAACCCTGACATAATCCTCATCTTTAAATACGGATATGCTGCAAGGTGCAGGAGTGTGAAGTTGCACACCCTTGCTCTGCTGTGGGGGTGCGGGTGGCTTCACAGAGATTAAGCAGCTCCCTTTCCTCCGGCTGCTTCTGAACCTGGAATGGGCTCCCTTTCAAAATATCAGCCGAGGCTGCAGAAGAAGCCAGTGGGGATCCACAGAGCACGTGTACAGGTTTCTCCCCTTTCTCCTTGAACCCTTCCAAATCAAGGAGACTTTCTGATTTTCCTGCTGACTGGAGGGCCGGAAGATGGAAACGGGCCTGCACTCCATTCCGGTTAAACTATTCTTTAAGCTGAAAGGTGGGTCAGCTTCTTTCTCTTCTCCTCAAAAGGAAGCAGGTCAGGCTGGCAGACAATCTGCTCATTCTCACAGGAGATGCTTCCAATAAGCCCGAGTGCTTCTTGTGTACTGGGAATATTTCAAAAGACTATAAATGCATATTTATCACATGTGTATATTGATGGTGAAATAAAATTGAAATGCATATGTTGATTCATTCATTCCACAAATGCATTCTCAAGAAACCACTGGGCACTTTGTTTTAATGTGCACATTTGTCCATGCACATGGATTAATGAAGGAAACAAAAAAATTCTCTGAAAGAACAGAGAAATGCTGCATCAGCCAATTATGCTTACTTAATATTTACAAAATTTCAAATTTAGATAACAACAGATAATAAAACCTGCTATATATAGTAATGCTATATGGTCAGAAACAAATAATTCTGAACCATAGGTCCAGTGAAAACTTCAGAAAAATAACCCATGGAGTACAAAGTTTGTCATAATAAAACTGCAAAGTTCCTGAAATAGACACCTGTTCAGTATTCTGTTCCTGTTACATCGTAGCAGCTTTTGTGAGAATGTGCAAGTACTCAGTGCAGAGCCTGCCTGGACTCTGTGAGTGGCTGACCTGGATCTGCCTGCTAGACAAAGTTACCCCTTCTGCTCTCATTACATTTTCCGAATGGCCAAGTTGCTCCAAGGGAACCTAACTTGTTCTCCAAATGAGGGACATCTTTCTCACTGAAACCCCAGGCACTCCAGTGAAAAAGCCCCCTCCCTCCAGCTCCCTGGAGGTGGCGGGCATCAGGAGCCCAGCGTGTGTCACACAGGATGAGCAAGGCAGGAAGCTGGCACCTGGCAAATTGGAGAGGAGTAGGCAAGATTGGGGCAAAGGGATGCCAGACTCTAAGACAGATACACTTTTCTCTGTGGGTCTCTCAGGGACGTCCCCTGCCCCAAACAGTAAATGTAATACATCCAATAATGTTCTTGATTTTCTCTTTCTTTCTTTTTTTAAAAAATCACAGTTTGATTCACATAGGAGAGGAAGTCAGCTGAATAATATTAATCATAATAAAAGGTAAAAATGATTATAGTATCAGCGGGGGACCGAAGCACCCCCCCCCCCAGGGCTACTCTGTCCAGAATTGCATGGACATATGGAGGGTGCACAGCTAGTTTCAATCCTTGGGGATCATATCTTTGATGGCTGACTCCCGGTTGACATACGTTGCCCAGTATACCATGTTGAAAATGGCAAATAAGACTGGAAAGACAATGCGAGACATTTTGTCTACCTTGCTGACACTGTTGTAGGTCTTCCTGTTTTCCAGAGGCTTCTCTTCCAGTCGGGGCACCTTGATGGCGGGGACCACCACAGCAGCAGGTGTGGTTGTGGGAGCAGCTGCGCTCTTGGCAATGGTTGGGAGGCTGGGCTCCTTGGTGATATTGAGAGCATACGTGGTCCCCACAATGTTGTAGGTGTTGTTGGTTTTTTTAGCCAACGTGGCTGGCTCTTTCTTCTGAGAAGAGAAGCAAAGAAGACAATGGTCCAATGGTATTGATGCATCCAGAGATATTTGCCTCTGTGGGAATGGAGGGGTGAGAAAAAGGGCTGCTGCTGCTGCTGCTGCTGCTGCTCTGACTTGACCCCAACACAGATCTCCATTCTGGAAGAGAAGGGGCCAGCAGGGCACAATCTTTTGAAACAGAGTCTCACCTAGAATCCAGGCCCTTCAGTAATGAACCTCTAATTTTTAGAATTGGGCACCCTCTCTTGGTGGTGTTTTCTGATTGAAATGTGAAAGCTTTGGTGCTTACTTTCCTCTTTAAAGTACCATGACAAAAAGAGGCCAGCTGGATCGCAATCGCACTACCCCCTTTTGCAAGTTGTAGCTTGTTATATTGCGGGAGCATGGCTAGAATTTCTCTGGGTCACTAAACTCTGGCTCCCCTAATGCCTTCCCTTCCCCTCTGCCTCTCCCTGCTCACCTTCATCTCCTGAGCCTCCAGCACCTTCTTGCCCTCCCAGGCCCAGCTGCGCTTAGTGAAATAATTGACGGCAGCAAATTCAATCAGCGCAGAAAAGACGAAGGCATAACACACCGCCATGAACCAGTCCATAGCCGTTGCGTAAGCCACCTTGGGGAGGGAATTCCTTGCACTGATGCTTAGGGTGGTCATGGTCAGCACTGTAGTGACGCCTGTGAAAAGAACAGATCAGAGGCAGCTGAAGAAGGCAGGCTCCCACCCTCTGTCTGGGCTAGCAGGGTTTTCTTTTGTCTTGTTTCCTCCCCCCGCCCTCACAATAAATTGGGATGTCACTCAGCAAACTTTCAACCTCTATAATAAAGACAAATCCAGGCACTGTTTATCTGCCATGTTAACAATGTCTTGTAGTAGATGATCCTTACCATTTTGAATAGGAATCTATAATGCTGGTGTAATAGAGTATTTTATTATTTCTTTAATTAATTAATTAGCATACTCATATAGAGTAACTTCTCATTTCATAGGCAGATGATTTGGGGTGGTGTACAACACAATAACATTAAAATTCCCATACAATTTAAAAACAACAAAACCGATGACCTCCACCAGCATCTTCATGAAGACGCTAAATAGGAGGGAGAGAGCAGCGAACCCTACAGAACCCCACACAAAAAGTATCTGATAGATTTACATACTTTCACACAATAAGGATCTCAATTTGTACTTCCCAAGGCAGCCTATGCACTTATATGGAGGTGAATTTTGACATTGGCTTTTTCTGATCTCGTAATGCATTTTTTCTTGTGATTGTCTTTTCATTCTGAAGAAGGAGGAGGAGGAGGAAGGAGGAGGTATAGGAGAGGCAGAGTGTCCAGGCAAGTAAGACAGAAAGGCCCAGGTTGTGAGTGCCTACTGGCTCTCTTCTCCCTGCAGCCTGCTCAAGGACACACTCACCAAACACTGTTCGGGCTGGCACACTCTCCCTGTTGAGCCAGAAGGAAACCTGGGACAGAATGACTGTCATGATGCAGGGCAAGTAAGTCTGGATCACAAAGTATCCAATCTTGCGCTTGAGATGGAAGTAAGTGGTCATCACAGTGTAGGTCCCTGGAAAGAAAAAGGCCACAATACAAGGATTTTAATATCTTGCACACAATCCAGGCAGCAATGTGTTAGTTCAGTGGCCATCCTTATAAATGTCCAGGAAAACTTGCTCACTGGGGTGGCCAACTGCAGTTAATATTGAGATGCACCTATATCTATATTTTCATGATTTAAAAATCTGCCTTTCATAAACTACATCTGTAATTGTTTTGTAAAAATGGTTTTATTGGTCTCACGTGATGCCATCACTCTAGGGAAAAGAAATAGCTGGCAATGCCCTTCTCAGGGTCTTTTACAGTCTCCTTTCACAAAACCGGATAGAATTGTCTACTCAGTGAATTGGTTCACATGCTTAAATTACTTGAATTATTGCCCTAAGAGACTGGTACAAATTTCCTTGCCTGCTCCTGCCTTCTTCTGACAGTGACAGCACCACACAGCCCCTGAGCTTAGATGTACAGGAGGTAAGGTTTTCTTCTTCTTCTTGCCACAAGAAGGACCATGTGTTACAAATATAATCCCTATGGAAATCAAACATGCTTTTCATGGGATCATCCAATAGTAAGGGCCATTCTCCAAAACTACCCCCCTCATTTAACTCTCTATAAAAGTGATATCTATTCCTGCAGCCTGCATCACCTGTTTCTTGTTGCCTTCAGCCAACCCAAATTACCTGTGCTAGACTCAATGGAATCTCTGCCCACATTATGGCCAAGGAGGTCATATTGATTGAGGCGGGAGCCACCTTCAGCCACCTCCACTTTTCCCAGAGTCCAAGTGTAGATGACTTCTGTCGTGGTGTAGGCATCTATGAAGGAAAAATTACAGAACAGATGGAAGATAATACCCAGGAATCCTTTGCCCAGCTTTGGTTGGTGAGCCAGTGGCAACCTCATCCAGAGGGGGATGCACTAAAGAAGATGTCTTGGCTTGCTGTAATTCATTCTAGATGGGGCTCTACTTGATGATCATCTACAAACCTCTTGATTGGGAGCCTCCCCGAGTTCGTTATAAGGGGGGTGGTTATATAGATGTTTTAAATAAATAAGTAACTTTCAACTGCTGCAAAATGCAGTGGCCTCTATGTAGTCCTTATGTTCCATTACTGCCACTGTAACACGAGTGCCAGTTATGAGCTGCTGCTGCTGCTCAGTGACCTACAAAGCCCCATACAGCTCAGGGTTTCTGCAAGATTGCCTTCCCTATAAAGACTCTGAGCAAACTAAAGGTGAAGTCCCAAAGCTGCTTTTTCCAACAGGTAACAGGACTTTCTTGGATTTTTCTTGAAAAATGTTAGGGATATTGAATTTAGTAGCTGGAACAGTAAAGCATACAAAGGCCAGTTGTAATTGATTGGTCAGAGTGTGCTGGCTCCTGCATGATGTTGTACTGCACTGTGATTGGTTGCTGCAATCTGAACTCTGCACTGCTGCAATCTGCACTATGATTGGTTGCTGTGTGGGGTAAAGGGGGAGTTTCCCTTTCTTCCCGCCATTTTCTTCCCCCTCTCTCTCTCTCTCTCTCTCTTTCTCCCTCTCTCTGTATCCTGTCTAATGATTTACCTCATAATGTTCCTGCGTTCCTGATTATCTTGTCTGCTGTAAATATAAATGTAAAATATATTTATTTATATAAAACTACAAGTTTGTGTCTTCATGTGTACAGCTGCTGCTGCTGCTGCTGTGCAATTCCCTGGCAGAAAACATTTCGCTCCTCAGCTCTTGAAGCAGAAGAAGTGGGAGCAGACCGGTTCCCAGCTCAATCTGTAGATGCAGACCATGACGTCTTCACAGGCTATGCGAGTTCAAGCAGGCAAAGGCCTCCCTCCAAGGTAGAGAACAAGAAGGAAGTACTCACAGCTCCCAAACTTCAATGGGCAGGCGTGCACATCCATGGGGAAATCCTCCAGGTGCATGGGGCATTCTGCATGAATGGTCAATCTGCAAAGGATAGGGCCCACGTCAAGCAGGAGGCTCCCGGGACTTAGTCCTGAGACCTATGGCAAGCCCTTTGGTCAGCTTATTTCTCAGCTATCCACAATTTGTCTTTTCACCAGAGACAGTGTTGACTCATAAAACGCATGCTTTTAAAATTGCCTCGATAGCCCTAGACTGCTACTTCACTACGATGCATTGCATCTGGCTTACATTCAGCAAGTGGTATTGAAAGGGAAGCTCCATTGTAAACAGGGGTTAATCCTGTCCCTCCAACTGACCTCTAGTGGCCAATCTGAGGTTGCCTCCTGCTGCTTCCAGAGTCAAGCAATGGTGCGGGTAAAGCAGCGGGTCTCCCCTCCATCAAGGCGAAAGGGGTTCCTCCTCAGGACAGCCTGTGCCACACCCCAAAGGACGTCCAACTCCAGAGGTCCCAGCTCACCTCATGGTGTAGAGGAGAGTGCCATTATCCACCAGTCGAAGCAATTTGTTTGGTGTAGTCATGTTGTGGGCCACCGATTTCTTTCCATTGTGGAAAAAGGTGTCTGGGGTCCAGATCTTACTGGCTAGCAAGTTATTCAAGGGCAAAATCTTCATCGGACCATCAAATTTCAATCGCTCGTCTCTCCAGGATTGCCGAAAGAAGACATCAATGGTGTACTCCTGCCGGTGAAAAAAGGAGTTGAAGATGAGGCTGCCTGAGGGACAGGCCCTACCCTGCCCTGCTCACAATAAAGAAGAATTCTGGATCCAAGAGACTCCCCAAGGGGAAGCCATGGCACGTGCTTCGAGGGCCCTTTGTTCAATGCCTGCCTTGGCCTTGGCTGTTCATACCAGAATTAGCACCTCAGGGCTCCCCAGAGTGAAGGAGCCAAAGAGGCCTTGTGTGCCACCATCACCCAGCACCATACATTGCGGTCCCCTTGTCCTGCACCCTGAGACCGCTCATGGTCTGCCTTCCTGCCCCTCCCCGCTGCCGCCCTGGTCCCTTCTGTGCTGTCAGCTCTGCTGCAGGTGGCTTCTGCCACTGTAACTGTCTTGCTGTCTCAACCCCAACTTGACTGATTTGCCCTGTGGCCGGACATGGGGTGGCTAAAGAAATCCAAGGTCACTGAGGGGCGCCCTAGTTACGTTCTTGTCTCTACAAACAGCTCGAGTGCAGAGAAGGCTGTGGGTGCAGTGCTGACTTTTCAAACCTCCCTGGGAAGAAGAATGACTGGCAGGAGCAGTAAAAAGGTGAGAGCCCTCAGGAGATGCCCAGTTGCTGGGTTCCTCTCAGAGCACAAAAGGGTCCGTGTGGGATTTTGCTCTAAGTATGGAGGCAGCTGGAAGAAGTGGTTGCAGGAGCCTGACAGAACATCAGCTGATCTTCCCACAAGCCAGTTTAAAAGGGAGGGGTGGGGGTGGGGCAAGCTTCTCCTCCCGAACCCTGACTCTGGGCCGGGCAGCAGGGCTATGTAGGCTCAGGAGGATGTGCTGTTCTCTGGGTGTTTCCAAGCCCCCTCCCCATCACCATAAGGAGAAAAGGCCCAGCAACAAGTGCAGAAAAACAGACCCCCCCCTCCGAGCAGTTGCCATAGCAACAATCATGTGGCAAGGAGCGCTAATGATAAAGGATGCAGAGTGCTGCCAGCTACAGCAGCAGTTGCTCCCCCCTTTCCCCAGGAAAGCTTAGCTGGCCCCCAGGGTCCTCAGCTCACAGCCCCGTGGAAGGGAAAGGCTGTTCCCTCTCCAGCCAGCTCCTGCCCCTGGTTGCTTCCCTGAGGGAGGGGAGGGGAGAGGGGCTGCCAAAAGAAGGTCGGTGGATGAAATGCGCTGGCTAGGGAGGATTTGTGCAGAAGTGAAGCAACCACTTGTATTCGACTTTCTCCTCTTCCACTGAGTAAATTTTGTAAGATAGAATACAGAATAACAAGAGTTGGAAGGGACCTAGTAGGTCATCTAGTCCAACCCCCCTGCCCAAGCAGGAGAAAATGCAATTCATTTTCAACTCTTTTGATTTCTCCTTTTCTTTTTTCTTTTTTTTTCTTTCTTCATTATACATGCTCATTTAATCAAATATGCTTAACTTTATAGTAATGACAAGGTACTCCCTGAAGGTGGAATGATTGAATATATTAAGGTTCTTGGCTTATTGTGCAACAATAAGGCAGTTATCATGGGGGGAAAGGGAGGGGGAGGGAGAAGAAGCAATCCACAATGAAACAGAATTCACTTTCTTTGCAAGGGAGGCAGTTGTCCAGATTTTGGAGCTTCCTGATTGGGTGTGAAAGTGAAGCTTTTGCTTTTAAGTCGAGGCAACCCTGAATCTATCCAGCATCTCTTCCCCTGCGCCATTCCACTGAGCCAGCTGCCTCTCATCCTTGATCCCTCACCAGGATGGTTTGCAGTGCCTGATTTACAAACCTGGGGTAACTTTGGATGCTGTACCACCCTCATTACAACCCAAAGATCGGGTGCTCTGAGTCAACCATTTGGCAGAGCAGCAGCAGAGATTTCTTCCTGCTTTATTTGCAAAAAGGAGATCAACTGTAGAAAGAGAGCAACTATGCCGGCCTGGAGAAAGCCTATTAAACCGGGGATCTTCTCTGCTGAAGGCCACAGACAAGACTGAGCAGGGATGATGGCTTAGAAGGGACTCAAACATCCCATCCCACAGGCCCAAACAGAGAAACCTAAGGGTGCCAAATTCGATTCCCTTGACTCAGGAAGAAGATAGGTTCAGATCCCAGCAAATAAGTGCCAGTGAGCCAGCTTCTCCCTAGGCTAGAGGAAGTGAGGCTTGCAACCCCAAACAAACCAGAGAATTCCGGGCTTCCAGCAGGCTCAATCTGTATTAGCTGGAGAATCCCCACCATAGTTCCGCAAAGAGGGCATGGAAAACTAATCCTGTTTTCTTCACATGAATGCAATTTTATTTCTTAGCTGTTTTTAATTTTAATGGAGATTGTTCAGATCTCAGCTACCTCATTCCTATTTCCACTCAAGGGCTATTCAGTTCTCTCCCTTTGCTTCCCTTCCCTTCCCTTCCCCACCAGAGTTTGCAGCCCCACAGACCTCTTTGCAGCCAACCAAAGATGGCAGCTCCAGGGTAACCTTTGCCAACCTGCTCTTCTGGGTCAGAAGTTGAATTAATAGTCTAGCTCCAGGGACATAGAGGATTCTTCCATTGGCCAGGGAAAGCAATTCCCTCTGGTTCTACCAAGCCCATCCTTCAGAACAATCCTCAAAACCTGATGGGCTCCTGCTGGGAATCACCCCGCTATTGGTCCCTTGCCCTCCCTCTAAAATCCAACCACAGGAGAAGCCGTAATATCAAAATATTTTTAAGGCAATGCTACTCCGCCAGCTGAGAGCATCCCTGTCCCTTGGATGTAACAGAACATCGCCTACCATGTCAGTGTCTGAGACAGGGCCAAAACTTGTCACATAGATATTGGTTTTGACTTCAGTTACTGTATCTGAAACAACATAAAACATGATAGCTATTGAAAACAAGTTGTATTTACAGAGCAAACATATCTCGCTATAAAATTAGCATTTTGTTTTTTGTTTGAAATGACCATGCTTTGGGGGAATCCTTTGATGTCTAAAATAACCCCATGACTTGAAAATAAATCAGATATAGAATTTAATTCAAACAGTAAATTGCAATTTTATGCATTTTAATTTTATAGGCTTTCTATATATATATATATATATATATATGCATGATATGACCCATGGATCTCCTGTCATGCCATCAGCGTTCACCCAAAAATAATGTTTCCAAATTCTGTTAAATGGCACATACTTCTTAAGGCAGATGCTTCACATGAGGCTGCTGCTGAAGTCTGCCTTGGAAATTTGATTAATTAATTCAATATTTGAGCCAGGCAATGGGATGGGCAGCAAGATCAAGGGCCTGCAGACCTGGACTGGGACTTTCACCCCCAAGGCAGGCCATTGAGCTACCCATTAATGCCTCCCCACTCAATACTTCAAGCCAAGGGATCTTCTACATGGACACCACTTCAGGTTTTTCCCCTCCAACCACATAACTTTGCCACAAGAAAGAAGAGTTGTTCCCTTGGAAAGAGGCCAATCACCTTTTCAGTTAAGTATCTCCCTCAACCTTCAACATCCGAAGGTTTGGCAACTACTTGCACTCTAACAATATACCCAAGCAACCATAAAAGAAATGTTATGCCTGGAGAGACCAAAATATATAGTGAAATGTGCGACTTAAGTCTGGGTGTCTTTTTTTTCTCCCATTCCTTTTGAATCCAAGTGATAAGTATCAGACCTCTTCAAGAGATACCTTCCCTACTTTGTGCCACTTTCATAGATAATTTTTTGGCACAGAGAACTTACTTTCGCCAAGTACACTCTTTTTAGCCATTCCCCCACCCTTGAAAGCACCACACTTTTTAATTCGAAGCACTGCGGCAGCATATTTTGGCTTCCCCTCTCAGTGCGGCCTCTTGGGCAGTTGAGGGATTCCAAGACAGATAACCTAGATAGGCAGAGGTGCACTTACTCATTTTATTTGCCTAATTATTATATTTGTAGTCTGCCTCTGACACACAAAGCCCCTCTTGCCCATATTCTTAAGACGACTTCATGCAGGCTCCCTGTTTTTCACTTGGGGCCACGGAGAGCAAACTCCACTGATCGAACTTTGAGTCTTGTACAAACCAGGTCAAGATCAATTTATTTGGCTTTGCCAGTTTGCCAGTCCTCTTGCTGGCTATCTCTCCAGGGCAGCCAATGATTCTGTCTCATTCTGGAGCATCGTAGGCGGCTCAGGTGACCCTGCTTGCCTACAGCTTCTGTTTTGCTCCAGTTCTCCTCTGCCATTCTTCTTTTGAAGCCCTTCCACAATGGGTGGGTAGAACCCAAGGATCTCTCGTCTAGCAGAGGAGTTTCTCCAGAAAGCAAGGGAGGGAGGATGAGTAGGAAGGGGCTTGAGCACATGCCAAGCTGCCCTCTGTATTCCTGGCCAAACCTGGGAGGAATGTCCTTCCTCTCCTCCACCCCTACTTCCTTTCTAGTATATAGCCTACAACTTCCAGTCAGGTAACTGCACTTTCTTTATTTTAGCAACAGCCAAGTGAACTGCGCCATTCCCTGGATAGAAGGCATCCAAAGTTACAGTTCTTCCCTAGACATCCTCTCTGGGGCAGAAAGGAATGGAGGTTTGCACAAAGGGGTGTCTTGACGAGGATGTGGAGTGAGACTGGGAGCGTGAACTATGGAGGGTGCACCAGCGAGTGCTCTTGCTCAAAGATGCCTCCTCACTGCATAGGCAAAGGTTTAGAAATGGATGTGCCTGAGAAGGAGAGCAAGGCCTGCCAATCAATGTGCTCCCCCTGTGGCTCTACATAAGCCCTTTTTCCCACATTGTGAGGGTAGGCCAACCTTGTCCATTAATTCTCAGGATTTCTCTCAAGTGAGCAGTTATGTTGCCATGACAGCATCATCAGGCCAGAACTGAGGGAGCTAGACAGACCCATGTGTTCTTCTGGAGGCAGGAAAATAGAAATTGGTGTGTGTGTGTGCTCAATTAGTGGCAATGCAGAAAAGAAGAACAAGCCTTGGTCATCCCTGGACATGATGCCCAGGATAAGAAAGGAATGGAAAACCCAGCCTTCCCATCCCAGGTGAGAGGGAACACTGTTAGGGAGCAGAAAGGGATAGGCTCTGCTAAATATATTGTAGTACTATGGAGTCTTGCATGCCCTGACCAGCATTAAGTGCCCAGCTCATCCTGAGAGAGGCTTAAGTCATCTTCATTGCACTGGCATTAAAACAATGCTTTCCCCTTACTCTGCCACATCCAAGGGCAAACTCCAGTTACATAAACTCTGTTAGCCTTTGTTACCTTGGAGGAAAGTCAAGCACCATTAGCAGCTGGGAACATATGCAACTGAGGCAGGAGCAGGATCAGCACTGAGAAGAGCAACTGATCCTCTGGTGGAGCGCTGGGGGAAAGCCCACATTGTTTGGCAGTGTTAATCCTTGTCTCTGTAGAGTCACACCAGCTCGATAGTTTCCTCTTGAGTGAGAAAAGTGCTTAGTGGTGGCCAAGAGGCTAGCTGCATAACCAATAGCATGGGCCAGCTTTACCGTCCCTACTATTGGGACAGTGGAACACGGACTGCACTGCGATAACACATATTTTACAGGTTGATGCTATTTGGACAGTGGAACATGCTTTACAGGAGATAACTAACCAGTTAAGAACACCTTGTGCTGCCCTGCACTACCACCATTCTCTAAAATTAAGCCTGCTTAATTTTAAGATCTAGAGAACTCGCAGCCCTGCTTCAGTTGGAAAGAAAGAAGGATAATGTTCTGCATTTCAGAAATAGATTAAGAATATAAAAGAGACGGAGAGCATACATCCCAACCACTACTGGGTGAATGTAATCCCCATCAATTCAAAATTAAGCACAGACCAATTATGTGTCAAGATGACTTGGAGAATCAGAGCTTGGCAATCGTTTTGCTGGCCCTGCCAGTGACTTGGGTTTCACCTTGTAGACAAAAAAGAGCAGGTGAGATAACCACAGTGACCCCTGAGCTCTCCAAGCTTCACAGACCATCAAGAAGGGAGTTCCTAGTTCTTCAAGGACTTCTCACCCACACTCAGAGGGCACCAGAACACCTGCCCAGATAAGTGCAGGTGCCACTTGAGGAAGTAGAGAGTGAGTGTCCTACATGGCCAACCCTGCACCCACAGGCTGTGTTGCTGAAGGTTTCAGCGCCTCTCCTCCCCTCCCCTCCCCCCAGCAGCACAGAACAAAGTAAGCCATCAAGAGCTGGTTGTACCTAAATTCAAATACAGACACATCTCATGTACAAAGAGTGCAAAGAAGCTTGAAATAGTTATTTAGTTTATGAATGTCAAGAAACCATAGGAAATACAGGTAAAATGGGTTTACCTCCGAGACCAGGTCTTAATCGGTTATCATAGCCATCTAAGAGACGATCCAGGATGCGTGTGAAGATAGTTATGTTGTCTTTGTTGTCGTCATCAATGATATCAGGTCCATGTTTTTGGGCTAGTCTGTCATGACAACAGAAACAGGAAATAAAATCAAGACACACCTTCATTTCTCAAATCTTATCTCTTTAGGGGAGTCAGACCTATTGGGACAAGTCCCCATCCAACAGATCTGAGGAAGAGTTGGATAATGATTGACTATCCCAGATCCCCTCTCCATGGGTTTCAGGTAAGTCCCAAGGGCCTGCTGGCATAATCTTCTCCATGCTTCCTCTCCTGCATAAATTGACAAAGGCAGTTTACTGTAGACAACATCATTAATAACATGCTAAAATCTGGGTTAGAAGAAGCTTCAATTAGATGCCACCAGCTGCACCGAAAGAGTGCTTGTTGATGGTGCCACTCCAGCTGGGTGGGGAGGCGCGGGTGGAGTGGTGCCGGGCTCTGTCCTGGGCCCTTTGCTGTTCAACCTTTCTATGAATGATCTCCATGAATGGGTTGAAAGGAGGATGATCAAATTTATAGATGACTCAAAAGTAGGGGTACTGGCTAACAGTTTAGGGAGAAAAATACATTTCAAAAAGATCTATACATATTTTACACTGGACCTCCCTCCCTCCCAAATAAAATAACAAAACAGAAAAACACCCAACCCAGAATGAAATCTAGCAGCAGAAATATCAAGTCCTGCACTTACTTATATGTGTATGAATGTGTACACATACACATTCACGCATACATTTAGGAGAGATCTGGTTTAGAACACGCAAAAAAGTTGTGGCTGTTCTAGTCAATCACAAGGTGAATGTGTGCCAACTGTGTGACAGAGCTGTTAAAAAGGCAGGTGCTATTTTGGCCTGTCCTAGCTGCCTATAGGGAGTAATCGTCCAGCTTCACTCTTTGGTTTAAACTCCAGTTTTCATACTCTGCTTAGTATTAGGTATTGCAGTCTAAAAGAGATATTGACAAACAGGAGCAAATTGGGAGGGGGGCTACCATGATTCTGGGGGGACTGAAAATCAAATCCTGTGAAGAATGGTTAATAGAAAATTTCGCTTGATAAAATGACATCTAATGTTACTGTATAAAGCTAAAGGTTTCCCCTGTTCAGATGTTTGTGGCTCTAGGGGCTGCTGCTCATCTCTGTTTCTTAGCCAAGAGAGCTAGTGTTGTCCAAAGACATTTCTATGGTCATGTGGCCATCATGACTATACGCTGAGGCATGGAATGCGGCTACTTTCCCACTGAAGAGGCATCTATTTATTTACTCGCATTTGCATGCTTTCAAACTGCTAGGTGGGCAGGAGCTGGGACAGGAATGGGAGCTCACCCTGTTGTGTGGCACTCGTTTCTCAAACCTGGGTTCTCAGCTTTCCAGCTGACAAGCTCTGCATCTTTAACTGCTGAGACATTGCACCACTTCACATTGCGAAGTGACATCTAATGTTGTGTTATAGAGAAGACAATGGACATTTTCTTATGCCCGAGAGGGCAAAACTGGAAGCTGTGAGTGGAGCCTTCTAAGAAGTAGGCTCTACGTTAAGAAGGATTTCCTGATGTTAAGAGCTGATACCAGCGAGGTTACTTCAGGCAATGGTATGTTCCATTTCATGAGAGGTCTTCAAAGAGAGAAAGCAGAAAGCCATCCATATATTTTAGCAGAATGCTGAAGGGTTGGACCAGATGATCTCTAAGGTTCTCCCCTACTGGGTCTATGATGAGAAACTGTATTAGCAGTATTGCTGGAGGAGAGCAAGTTTGGGAATTGTATATGCTAGATGAATGGTATCTTTATGAGATGATTGGTGAGTTGCTACCTTCAAGATTGTTTTAACCAAGAAACACACTCCCCAGGAAGATTAGACCTGATTAAGGTAGACTCTGTTAATGGATTTTCTCTCCATCCTTCTGATACCCTGTAACTCAGGGAAGAGCCAGCCTAAATTTCTTCCTAAGGTTCTCTTCTTTCCTCCAGAGTAAAGGAAGACTTCTGCTCTTTTTGTTTTTGTTAGGGTACTTTTGAATATTTCCCTCAAGAAAATCCCTGTGGCACTCCACCGACATACCACTCAGTGAACTAGATGGCCACGTGTGGCTGTGAGGCAAGGTCTCCTCTGACTAAGAACCTCCCCACACCTCCCTACTGCTTTTCCATTACCTTCACCCCTCCCCTGCTCCCTTTCCCACCCACCCACCCTGTGAGGAAGACCAGTTCTGTAGAGGAGCAAGAACCCTCTTCACCTGGCATAGGCTGATTCCTCATGCTGCCTTCTGGGTGTGGAGATGGGGCATGTGGTTTCTGTGTTTTGTTCTGAAATCAGCTATTAAGTGAAGCAGTTCCTAGGTGAAACTACAACCATGCTTATCACTTGACTTCACTTTTTCTTTGCTTTACAGACCTGCAAAGGTTGTAAAGGTGAGGACTGGTTACAACTTTACTTTTTCATTGCTATTGTAGCTACAAGTGGTCACTAAATGAGACAGACCTTCAGCAAAAACTATCATATAGATGGTAGTAAAGTGAGGCTCACGTGTCCAAATTCTCCTTGTGGTTTAGGGTTAGGCAAAACGAGTACCACAGAAAGTAACATCTGCAGCCACAAAATGAATTAGATGCAAATGCCCTTCCACAAATTATAAGCTGTCCAGAGTCTTTTTGAGAAGGGAGCATGTGAAATTAATAAATAAATGAAAGAAAGAGGAAGGAAGGAAGGAAGGAAGGAAGGAAGGAAGGAAGGAAGGAAGG